AGGGGAATGCTTTTAGTTGAAGACACATCATTAGTAAATGAGAGCTACTGTGGGTTAGCTAAGTCTGGTTCAGCAGCCAAAGTGATTTACGTCTGGTTCCACACATACAGAGGCGGTACAAGAACTGGTGGCATCTTTGCCTGTAGAGAGACTAAGGTCTTCAAAGGCTTAATAACCTGGGGGAGGTCTGGGTCGTTTCACAGTTCAGTGGGGAGTAGATTGCTGTGCTGCGTCAGCCATACCCTCCAGTATATGTATACTATGCTGTTTCTGGAAGAATAAAGATATGAAATTGAGTTTAAAAAATGAAGGAGGAAAGAAATCAAAGGAGATTTCCATATTCTACACTGTTCTCATAAGCACAGAGAAACTTTGAATCTATGGTTGAGATAGCAAATGCACCTTTGATTCATATGAATGAACTTTATTAATTTGCAGTGGAGACGTTGTGCAATAGTGAACTTTGTGGTTTAGGAAAAGGAGGCAGAGTTAAGAGAAGCAGCCCACAATCCAATATAAAATCTACTTTATTTTAAAAACATTTATGATGCTACTTCAAAGCCTTTGATATACTGCTGAATGTGTTATAACAATGACTACAAGTTAAGTGAAAACCATTTGATTAAATCTTCCCTGTGAAGTAGGCTAGCTCATTTTCCAGACAGTGGCATGTTTGGATATATTCTGCATTTACATCTTTATCAGGGGCTTTGAATGGGTTATATGTTATAAACTGTACAGGTTTTCAGAATGCTTGAGAGTATTTATGGTATCAGGTAAAATATGCCTGCAAGACTTTGCAGATGGGGGAAAAAATTATCACCACTAGTACTTGTCTGCTTAGAAACCTCTCAATATTACTTACTCAGTTGTGCTATAAAATCATGCTTGCAGGATTCAGGTCTCCTGTTCACTTACATGCAAAGTAGGCAACTAGAATTTTTATTTGCTGGTATTTATAGCACCACTCGCTTTGTGTAATAGAGCCCAGTTGTTAGGGCTAACATGAGGTCCCAGTGCCAGATAGTTTGTGGATTAAAGGCACAGCACGTGGTGAATCGATGTGAACTTGTCTTAACTAAAAAACTGTCAGCACTTCATTTTAATGGTGAATGGTGAATCGATGTGAACTTGTCTTAACTAAAAAACTGTCCATTTTACTTGCCTACCCCCCCCCCCCCCCCCCCCAGGACCTTGATTTTTACTAAATTTCTTTCTATTCTTTATTGTCCGTGTGTATTAATTCATTCATTTGTGGTCTTTGAAGCGTGCTGGGTTTTCTCCTAGGTGCGCTCCCTGCTTTGTCTGTACTGTCTTATAAAGGACACCTGTTTTTTCTGAGCTGTAAGGAGGATTAAGGAAACTAATCTAAGTGAAAGTCAGTGGATAACACTCAGAGAAAGGACACCTAACACTGTGGGTCGAAGGAAACCAAAAAGTGATCCCTGTGACTTAAGCCCAAATCATTACAGTATTTAGGCATTTAACCCCAGCGGAAACCAGAGGGAATCTGGCCCTTAAGTAGGTGCTGGGATCTTAAGTGCCTTTGAGAACATCAGTCCCAGTGCTGCAAATTGCTGAGTGCCTCCTGATTCACTGGGAACGGATCGCTGGTTCTGTCAAACTGTACTGGGGTTTATAAAATGGGGGGAAAAGGCTAGGAAATTTGTAATACTGCAGCTCCTAGGCACACTGGTTTAAGGAAAATCTCTGTCCAGCGAGGTACTGTATGGGGAACAAGCCGCAATCCCAAATCCAAAACAAGAGGCAGCTGACGGTCATGGACAAAGATAATGAATGGGAATGCAGCAAGTGTTGGAAAGGCTCTGGGTTTTTTATAGTGCTGCTCTGGACTAAACTTGTTCTGTTCTAGTCGGAGCGAGGGTTAAATTTCTATATGGAGGCTGATGGCATTCAGGTTCCTGAGTTAGGCCTGGGCAAAAATTAAAGCATTTTTTTAATGTGGTAAGATCTAATTGCCACATAAATAAACAGCTGGAAGTACTTAGTACCACTTAAAGAATTCACTGTGTTTAATGTTACTGTAACTCCAGATACACTGAAAAACCGGGTTGCCTAGAGACTGGAAAAAATGTGAATAAACTGAATAAAGATGGGTAGCTGTTCTGCTTAGTACTAACCTCAGGGCTCATTTGATATTATTAAGGACCCAGGTAGCGTAAGGTCACTGGTTTCACTGTACAGGGAAATTAAAGAAAAGCCATGTCCCAGTGTCATGCTGATAGTGGAAATTAGAAATTAGGTAGACTTTATTTTTAAGGGACTTGAGAGTTTTTGATGGGGAGAACGTAGGTTTTGCTAGTGAGATATTTCAGCTAGTTTAGAGTGAAATGTCAGTGTAGCCGGTGTGGTACCACTGAAGGGATTCTGGCCTTTGACACACCTTAAACTAGTGACATTAGTGGCTTTACTGACCAGCGTTTATGTATCTTCTGAAAAGAGACTAAGCTTTTTTTTTGTTTCTTCTTAACATTGTAAATCTTTTGGCATCATTTTTGGTTTTGTAGTGCCTAAAGTAAGAGTCAAAATATTAGGGATGTTTCCCAGCTGTACTCAGCTTTGTATCCTAAATCACTTGCGCTGCAAGTACAGTTTATGTTGAGAAATGCCTGGTTTAAAAAGACATAAACTGCTGATGGTGACAAATTAGGGGGTACTTAAGGAAAAGGGGAAGATAGCCGAGATGCGTGTTTGCATGGTTCGCTTCCGTGCAACTTTGGCAGATGCGTTTACATTCCCAGAGAATCTTTCAATATTTCTTGTGAAGTATGCGGAAGGGAAACTAAAGTAGATCCTTTGCGATATAGGAAAAAAAAAAATACGGCATTCAGTGTGTGTTCCTCATGTTTCTCTTTCTCATGCCGGTGCTGCTTACGTGGTTGTGTTCCCAGTAGAAGTTTTGGATTATTCAAACCTGTTTTCAGAAAAATTACCATGTGGCTAAAGTGACTGTTACACCCAGCGAAAGACCAGCAGCAAGGGTAAAAATTCAGGAATACATCTGAAATTTATTTACAGACAATATTGGAAGAATACTTGAGAATAACAATTACATGAGGAAAGAAAAAGATGGTTTGTGAATGACTCGCGGCTAGTAGAAAAAGGATAAATTGAGTTCAGTATTTAATGTCAAATCTATTACGTGGAAGGTTGTCAGAAATACAAAGCATTGACCTAGTTTAGGGTTAAATACTTACAGGTTTTTTGCAAGAAGGTATTTGCAGGTGTTTTTTGCAAAGCACTGAAGTTTTTTGGTTTTGTTGCATTTTTTTCTTGCTTTCTAACTCATCAAATATTTTATTACTTTAGAACATAGTATAGAATTAGTACAGAAAAGCAGGTGGACTGCTTAAATTGGTGTAGTCAAAACAACTGATATTAAATGTGATTTAAATAAGCAAAGAGAAAAAATATGCAAAAATATTAATTATTTTAATTACGTTTTTACCTAAGGAGTAGTTATATTGGTTATAAACCATTCAAATGTGCTGAATTACACTAAGTATAGACTCTAAATTAGGCATTTTTTGTTAATGGGCATGCTTTCTACAAATACCTGTGAAAGTCTATTCAAACATAAGCAGAGGTGAAACTATATACTAATCTGAATTTGTCTTTTATTCTAAAGTGGGGAAATACTCATATTTTTCTTGTGATTTTTCTGATTGCAGGAGGAATTTGGAGTGTAATTACAAGGCATAAAACAAACCTTATAAAGCTTTTTTTTAAACCTTTTTTTTTAACTTGGCAGTAAGAATCTGTTTCCAGCATGGGGAAATTTGGGAAAACGAGCTCTTGTTTTTTGATCTAGCTGCCTTAGTAAACAAAGGAAGTGGTGTTTGTGAGCAGAACTGATGTTTCTTGTTTCCATCTCTTTCAAAACATTGCAACTAGCAGACCTTTCCCTTTCAGATTCTGCTTTTGCTCACGGATTGATGCACAGCAAAGGCTTTCCTGGGTTTTCAGCTCCTGCGTTCACAAGTATTGCTTTAATCATTGACTGAACTGACCCGGTTGGATAAACTGAAATAAGGAGAGTTTATCATTGTTCTTTTGGAAGTGGCAAATTTAACGTGGGGTCAGTTGTCGGAAATGGGGTCAGCACTTTGAGCCAGGTTGGCTGTGAGTCTGGGCTTGGATCAGTTAATGTTTTGCAACATTACACCTCGAGTTAACTGCCCCGTGAAGATGTCTCCACTAGCAGGTAGCTCACAGCAGGCTGTTACATGTACTAAGTGAAAAGCCAGTTTTATTGAGTTATTGTTAAATAATTCAAATTAGTATTTAACTAACAATGAATTAAACTCTTCATCCACCTTGAAACAGAGAAGAATGTAAATGCCAGGATATTTTTGTGGTTTAACTCTTCTGAAACTTAACTTGTTATAAATGAGGCTTTTTGGTAGTAGACAAGTACAGTTGAAGACGAATAGATTAGTTCTAGCCCAAGTAAAAATGAAGGATTTGGGTTGAATTGCGATCTCAATAGAAGCATTAGGGCAATTCAGTAACTTTGGGATCTGGCTGGATTCCCGAAAGCATGTAGAAAAAAGCAGCAAATGGAGCAATTCAGAGAAAGCTCTCTGGACTGAATATTCCTGTCTGTGATTGTGGGGACCAGACTGGGTGACCCACATGTCAACCTTATGTTCCTATGAAACAATTCAAGAAGCAGCTGTTATTTTAAACCTTAGCCTGTCTGCAGTGGGATCTCTTAGCTGTTCCCCAGTTTCACAGAGGAAAATGAAATCTGGCAAAGGGCATGAGGCCTCGGAGATGTGGAAAAGCTGTGGTCAAAAGGGATACCCACAAAGGATGAGGAGAACCCCAGCAGAGGCAACTATATCCAACTGTATGCCTTCTGTGGCACCTGCCATGAGAAAAGGATGCAGTGGATAGTCTGAAATGGCAAAAAGACATTATAAATAGAAATGCCAGAGGAAGAACTGCTAATTATTTCTCACCTCTCTTGTTTTCAGGGTATGGCCTTTACATTACATGAACGACAGATGCTTGGGTTGCAAGGACTTCTACCTCCTAAAATAGAGACACAAGACATTCAAGCCTTACGCTTTCATAAGAATTTGGCAAAAATGACTGACCCCTTGGAAAAGTAAGCACTCCTCTGGCCTTGTTTTGTCATGCAAGTAAATGGAAATTACTGTAAAATATTTCATGGGGATAACCAAACAAGGTTTCTATGCCTCCACTGGGTTTTTCAGTTGTTGGAGGCTATTTTCACTTTTGCACAGAAAACTGCTTTCACCAAGCATGCTTTCATCAAGCATGCATTCATCATGCGGCTAAATGAGGTTGGGGAGCTTTTTTCCTTGTATTCCATAGTCATAAGGTAACGAAAAAGAGTGTGCACAAATTAGCCAGTAACAAAGCTGCAAACCTTGCTGTAATATGTATTTCTGTAATATGTAAGATTTGGGCGGCAGGTTGTTAGAGCACAGAACTATTGGAGGGGGGGAAGGGGGCAAGTAGTGCATGCTAGAAAAATATGTGAGAGTGAAGGCAAATTGAGGGTTTGATAATTAGGTGTGAAAAATAGTCTTTATCATACACAGTAGTCACTGCTAGAAGGGCATTACAGGGTTAGAATTTTGAGTCTCATAATAGGTAATTTTTTAATATCTTTTTTGTTTAACCCACTGGTTTGGTGAAAAAAATGTGAAGGATTTTGATTTGTTTTTGTTTTTTTTTTAGAATGGCATGTTTTTAGCATCCTGTTACTGTTTTCATACAAGCCTATGTATATCTGCATGTAAAAATATGCAGTCTCCTAAAGGCGAGAGGAGCATTGGAATGGTTTGAGGCTTACTGGACCGCATCAAAACTCTTTTGTTCTCATGAAAACCAAAAGATGACTTTTAAGTCCCCATCATGTCACTTGCTGATCTGAAACAGTCATGTCATCTGTATTGGCAAAGTGCCCCGTTGCTGTAGCCTAAGACAAATCACTAATTCATTATCTTTATGTTGTTGGGTCATCAAGGCTGAATATGAATTGATACACGGTAGATTGGTAGGTAAATTTGCAAAAATGCAGGTTTAATTTACACACCTAGGTAAGTCCTTCAAAATGAACTTTTTGTTAGGAGTTAATTCATTTTACAACTGTGTTAATGTTAGGATTAACAAGACCTTATTGTCAGGACCTTACTTTTTTGGATGAAAAATTCTTTCACTGGTAATTTTGTTTTTTAACAGTAGTGAGACTCCCAGCTGCATCCTGTAATAAATCCATGGGTTATCTTTTATCGCAATGCATGTTTGTGCATTAAGTTTTTAGCATGCATGGTATGTCATATCCACTATTTTTATTTCAGCTTTTTAGTACTGCTACTCTCTTTTCCAACTTTTGTTTAGTGCTCAAAGCCGGACTTGAGCGGAGGCAGGAATTTCATGAAGAAATAATAAGAAGCAAGTTGGTTTTTTTGCTTTGACGTTTTTCACATTGTTTTAAATAAGCATAAATGTGAAACAGTAAGTGGGGTTTTTTTCTCTTGCTTGATTTCAGGTATATCTACATAATGGGAATCCAAGAGAGAAATGAAAAATTATTCTATAGGGTATTACAAGATGATATTGAGCGGTTAATGCCAATTGTATACACACCAACAGTAGGCCTTGCCTGCTCCCAGTATGGACACATCTTCAGGAGACCAAAGTAAGAACAACAGATATCTATTGCTGCTACTTTTATTGTCATTTTCTCTATATACTTGCCTGAGGTTTGGAAATGTTTTATTTCATTTTCATTTCGATTCAGCTATACAAGAGTTGTGCCAATTCAGGGCAGTAAAGTTACCCCTCTGCTCAGGAGGGGTAACTCACCATTAAATGCACACCTGCACGCAGCCTGCGCAGAGAGGCAGGAACAGGAGTGGAGTGCACGCATACCCCTACAGCAGATTTTGCTGGAGGAAGCTCAGGCTAACCACGGTCCTGGCAGAATCGAAGCCGTGATCAACATGTTCCTGCTGATGGCAAAGGGTTCCGGTGCTGGAGAGATTCTCAGGATGCTCTGCAGAGCAGCACAGCATGACATCTTGGGTGTAGGAGCAGAGGCCAGCGAGCAGTGTGTGAGGAGAGATGTTGGCAAAGCAGGAAGGGAGAGGCTTTGACTCATGGTAGCTCAGGAGACTCCGCTGGGTGCAGATAGTCCCTGTATTAAAGCGGTTGCTCCCAGGAGTCAGCTTGCAGTTATTCTGACACTTGGCTGGGATCTGGTTTGGGTTCAGCAGTGGCTTGAAAACAACCATTCAGGTGATTAGCTCTGTGTTGAAGAAACCAGTTCAGACTGGCAGTCATTTTGGCTCATTTCCATGATACTCTCACTGCAATTCAAAGTGTATTTCTAGAGCCCTCTCGCTTGAGGGCTTTAGTGCTGTGAGAAAGAAGGGCTAATCCTTCGCTGCCATGAGGACTCGGCTGCATAGTGCGGCTGCTGTGATAAAGACAGTAAGAAACTCATGGTTTTGCTCCTGATCTGGGGCAGGGGATGTGAAAGATGTACTCTTAGCTCTCACTTACTTCCGTTCCTCTTCCACGTCTCTGTATGTATTATAGACCAGTTTGAAAACTGTCCCCTTCTAGAAGTTGTCTCTACAAGAAACAGCAGCATGGGTTGAAACTCAGGATGTGCCCCTTTCTTTCCGAGAACCAGCACTTTCCAAGTGTTGGTAATTTATCTGTTACCACCTCTGCTGAGCCTTTTGTGCCCCCTTTCCTCCTAACAACAGAGGGCTTGCTCGAGCAGAAGAAATACAGACACTTCTCTTCACCTCTGCTCCTTTCTGCTCCTTTGCTTCCCCTCCGATGTTCCCATGGAGGAGCACTCAGCAGTGGGAAGCACTGTTCTCCTCCTGGTCTTGGAGAAGACAGTATGCTCAGTCCCTGTCTTTCTCTTTCCTTTCTTTTCCCTTCCCCTCACCTTGTGTAATGTCGTGAACAGAGATTCACTAAGGTAAAGCCAGGCTTAGGATCATGTTCCCTTGTCATACCCTTACAGGGGAGCGTAGATCCTGTCACGTCTGACACTAACACCAGAGGTGTTTTGCCCTAGAGGAGTATTAAAGGTGAATATCTGTAGTAGTGTAAAATCCAGGTAGCACCATGAAGAGTATTTTCTCTGTGTTCTTATTTTAGAGTGTCAAAGTAGCCGAATAGACTTGTGTATTAGAAATTGTCCTTTGAGTGATTTATGTCAGTGATTGCAACGCTTTCAATTTTAAGAAAATTGTACTGTTTGACATTAAGTTTTACAAAGCAAGGTGAAATTTCTAATTGCCACCTATAAAATATTTCTCTTTCAGAGGATTATTTATTTCCATCTCAGACAGAGGCCATATAAGGTCAATTGTGAACAACTGGCCAGAGAATGACGTTAAGGTACTACCGCTGTATAATTTTTTTTCTAGTTGTTACTTAATCGCAGTTGAGTTTCTTAAGATTTGTTAGTATTTGATGGAAATGTAAATACTAAATAATGCATCCTTGGCTGTTTGACAATGATGGCAAAATACAGCTAATGAAGATAATGCGTATCTTGAAGAGCAGTGTTTTATCCTAAATATGAGGTTTATGGTTTCGGTAAACAGTGATGATGAGAACTAGACTTGCCAAACTCTTTATTTTACTTCATTATTCCACCTTTTGGGGAGGTGTCGGGGGATGCACCTCTGGTCTTACTGTGTTACATAGCAGTAGGAGAGGTGATCTTGTCCTCAGATTAGGACACAGAAGTGGGAGTTGGGAGGCCCAGATTTTGCTATTAAATCTTGTATGACCCAGCTGGGTCGAGAACCACAAGGGGAGATAACGTGAATGACGCTTACACAAACTTTTCGATGTTTGGATTTACAAGTGGAAATCATAAACCCAAGTTACAAGCTGCAGTTTCACACGGCAGCTTGGATCCTTCCCACTTAGCTTTCAAGGATTTGGGCAGTGGATTTGAGCAAAGAAAAAGGAGCAAAGCAGATTCTAACATTAAGCATTAATGCTTCAAGTAAAATATTCCTTCTAATCTATTCTTTGACTGTGCAAACACACCTGAATTTTTGCCTGGAGAAAAACACAACTGGTATTGCTCTAAACTTTATAAATTTCAGTGATTATATATAATTTCACCTGCTTTTGTTTTCAGGCTGTTGTCGTCACTGATGGAGAAAGAATATTGGGTCTTGGAGACCTAGGTGTGTATGGGATGGGAATTCCCGTAGGAAAACTGTGTCTGTATACAGCCTGTGCAGGAATACATCCAGATAAATGCTTGCCTGTGTGCATCGACGTTGGAACTGATAATACAGTGAGTTTGACTGAACTTTGCCTGCCATAAGTTATCCTTATGAAAAGTATTCATTTAAGAGTACTTAGTACTAGAAGAGAAGATTTTTATTTGAGCACTTTTATTTAAGATAAAACCAAGTATTTTATGTAAGGCGAAATAATTTGGAATTCACTATACACTTACATATCAGTGATTGAAAAACGCCAGTTAATTTGTCAGTGAAATGGTGCATTTGGAAGTAATTCGAATGCTGGAACACTGTAAAATAGACAGTCAGGTTGACCTGACTTTAAGAAGCTGGAAATGTGAATCAGATTTATTAAAGCAGTTTATTGTTCACAGTATTGATTTGTTCCATTTTAAAAGCAGCCATCACCAACCTCAAGTGCCAGCTGAAATTACTGAACATTGATATAGACTGGAGGCAGTTACAGTGGCTATATAAATGCAGTATCTTTGGTGAAATGTGTTACTGTGAACTCTGGAAAGTGTATCTTGAAGAAATGATTCATCCTGCTGCTGTCATTGATTTATTCTTTTTCAGACACTCTTAAAAGATCCATTTTATATGGGCCTATACCAAAAAAGGGATCGCTCACAGGTCTATGATGACCTAATTGATGAATTTATGGAAGCCATTACAGACAGGTATGACACTGAATATTCTGCATGGAATTATGGCCAAAACTGCTGGCAAAAAAACCCCCCGTAACACACTGTCTTTGAAACAGTCATTTAAGGAATCAGGATAGGACTAGAAGTCAAGAGACATGGCTGTATTTCTGGCTCAGTAGTGATTTTTCTCTGTGACCTGGAACATGTTGCTTGTAGTTATCTGTTAAATGTGCACAGAACGGAGATGGAACTGTTTTAAGCAGTGAAAGGCCTGAGGACATCTTCTTTCCAAAGATAATTGATTACATGCAGGATTTGTTTTAAAAGGATTTTATTTCTTTATGTGTCTAGTGATAAGAGTATTTGCTGTGTTCTGTAGGTATGGCCAGAACACCCTTATCCAATTTGAAGACTTTGGAAACCATAATGCTTTTCGGTTTTTAAGAAAATACAGAGAGAAATATTGTACCTTCAATGACGATATTCAAGGTATACCCTTTGTTTATGTTCCTTAATGTATATGCAAAAACCTTGCCTAAAGCCATGATCTGCCATGTAGATCCGTTCAGCTCTCCTTAGATTTGTACTGCTTTTACAGGGACAGCTTCAGTGGCCTTGGCAGGACTGCTGGCAGCACAGAAAGCCACTGGTAAACCACTTGCAGAGCAGAAAGTGCTGTTCCTTGGAGCAGGAGAGGTGAGTTCTCTTAAGGGCTCTAGAGCAACAAGAGATTTAACTGTGCATTTTCTGGTTCTGTGGGACTTGTGGAGATTTACATTCTCTGAATTCCATTGCAGAATTCTTTATATAAGGCCTGCTGAAATACATTAACAGGAGGGACTACTTGCTTAAAAATTATTTGAAAGGTGTTTGACATTTGCAAGGACTCAAGTTTTTCACTTTCTTACATGGACTTGAAAAAAGCATCAGGGACTTGGGTGTAGTTGAAGGGGAATTTACCATAAACTTATGATTTAGTAAGAAAGGGCATAAGAACATCTTGTTTATTTTTATAGCATTGGAGAGAAGTACACAGTGGGTTTCTTAGCAAGTTAAATCAGTGGCTGTTTGCAGCAGACGCTAGTTAGTTACTGGGGCAGCAGCGTCAGGACCAGCACCATGCTTCTTGGTGTATCAGCAAAATTGCTTCTATGGTGCTGACAAAATAACTTAATTAGCTGAAAATTTCTCCAGCTGGGGAAGGTCCAGACCACCATAATTGGCCGGTGTTGTGTTGTTGCCTGAGCACCGAGCCCTACTCTGCACTTCCCTCTACCTCATTTCTCCTGCCAGACTTGCAGCATGTAGAGCAAGCCAAGAGAAGGGATGTGGGGGGAAGCCCTTCCAGCATTCACTTTCTGCCCTCTGTCTGCAAGGGCTTTATCACAGGCAGCGGGAGCAGAGAGGGGTTCAGAAAGCAGTTGGGCACAAAACGCTGCACCGTGGTTTCTTGACAGGAGGGCTGCAGCACTAACTTATTGTCTGGTTGGGCTGCTTTATTGTGGCTGCTGAACTGGTACAGACATGGGGGCACAGTACCCAGAAGAGCTGCCTCTTTGTTTTGCCTGAAGACATGATGCTATTGATCCCAGGAGTCTGCCCCCATCTAGGCAAACATTGCTTGTGTTTCAGAGGTGACTTACTACATGATTTTTGTGGGGATCTTGAACAGCGTGGTGTTTGTGATGACAGACCTCTTTTGTGACTTGTTAAAAATCAAAGTCCTTTTATCCACAAGGCCGCCCTGGGAATTGCAAACCTCATTGTTATGGCTATGATGGAAAGCGGTGTTTCTGCTGAGGAAGCCTACAGGAGAATATGGATGTTTGACAAATATGGTTTACTGGTTCAGGTAGGGGTGCACCATGCCTTGAAATACCACAATGCAGACAGCCAGTGCTTTCCGTGTCCTTCTCACAAAAAGAATCAACTTTTTATCTATAGGGGCGAGAACAAAAGGTAGATTCCAATCAAGAACCATTTACACATCAGGCTCCAGAGCAGATACCAAAGACATTTGGAGAGGCAGTGAATGTACTTCGGCCTTCAGCTATCATTGGTAAGTAAGGTTATTTTTGTTTCTGTGTTTCCATCAGTTGGTTATTTGCTGCATTTAATTTGCTAACGGGGCTCCAAGGAGGTTGGTGACACTGATCTGCATTTCTGCTGGTGTAAATAAGATGAAAATGTGAGGTCAGTTTTCTTGCTTGAAAATATACTAAGCTGCAGGTTAGCTCTCAGTGCATCCTACATTGCAGCTGTGGTGTTCCTTGTTAACTGCGTCCTCTAGTCCTTGGTCCAGCTGGTGTTGGACCTTTCTTAGAAAACTGAGTATGTTCTCAGGAACCGCATGGCCACAATGAACTGAAACTGTAATGAAGGGCACTAAGAGTCAGGAAGACAAAAATATAACCTTTTTCCCAGACACATGCCCTACACAAGCAGCAAGGGAGAGAGCAGTCACAAACACCGCATTTTCTGCTTTACAGGAGTTCCCTAACTTGAGTAATTTTCTTTTTTTCTGATCTTCCTTCCCCCAGTCAGCTTCTCTGGCCAGAATCTGCCAGCAGTATGGCTTGAAGGAGCTGTTTCATACTGCAGATCACCAATACCTGTTAGGTCACTGACGTATGTAGGTATTGATTTATAACTGTGGCTGTCTGCAGAGGTCGGATGGGATTACAGATATTTCCTGGTACAACTCTGCAATTTCCTTTGCACGTGATTTATTTGGAAAAGAAAAGTTTTTTGGCTGAGTAGCTACCCTGGAGTTTGTAGCTGGTGTACAAATGTACATCATTTTTATGTATTTGTACCTATGTGTTTGGGTGTGGTCAGAGATACCAGTATCGGGGAAATGTGCATGGCACAGTTAACACCCAGCTAGGATGAATCATCTGTGAAGAACCTGGAGTTCCCACTTGCTTATCCAGGGCAGTGATAAGCGTTCAATACAAAAAATCATGTAAAATAGGCTTTTGGAACACATTAATTAGATGTTCCTGTGAAAATGAGAATTTTAAGCAGCCACTAACGGAACAGTGCCTGGTTTCCATCTCCTGCTGCTAGAAAAGCCTGGAATGCTTTGCTCTGAGTGGGAGATTTCAGGGGTGACATGAACTAAATCTACAGTCGCTGTCATCTGCCCTGAGGCAGTCAAGTATTGATTCTATTTTTACGTGTTTCCATTTACTTCAGGAGTTGCAGGAGCTGGACGTCTCTTCTCTCAGGATGTGATCAAAGCAATGGCCTCTATCAATGAGCGACCCATAATATTTGCACTAAGTAACCCTACAGTGAAAGCTGAATGCACAGCAGAGGAAGCATATACATTGACAGAGGTATGTAATGTTTAGAAATGTTGATCTATTGGCACTTAGTGATAGAACTGTTTACTGAGTGTAAGAATGCAAGAACTCAAATTATTTTATTATTACCTGGACTTACTGACATAATACAGATCTTTCCTGTCTTCTGGCAAAAGTAAATGGGGGTGATTTGAAAAGAAGTCTTGATTTTTAAATGATGACATTGTGCAAAGCTTAAAATAGCCTAAATCTTACTACTTTTTAAAAGAATGACCACTAGGTACTGTTTCATAGCTTTGATCAATTAACTGTTTCCCACCACGCTTTTTAATTATTTTGGTTTTTAAAGAAACATCTTATGTTAACATTGTAATAGATACTAGTAAAAGGTAGCGGCTGCCACGTTGTGAGTAAAGGCCTTAAAGCAGGTAATGTCCTCGCATCAATCCAGGAATTCTGCTTTGCAGTCAGTCACTTCCTAGTGACTGCAGGTCAGAACTCGTATCGTTAACAGTGACCTGTGAAGACCTGTGCTTCCAGTGCAGGAGTCTGTGGTGGCCCTCTGTCCTTGTGTTCGCCTCTCGCGACGTCTGTCTGTCGTACGCTGGCACCACCAAACGTTAAAACGAGTGAACCAAGAACAAACACACCTCGTCCAGCACTCTCACCTCAAAGCCATTACACTGTGGGGTGCTTGGGGGGGCTTGGAAGTTGGGGTTTTGGGGTGGGTTTTTTAATAACACTATCACCAGCACATCCAGACCTTGGTTTTGCCTTTAATGAAGCAAGTCTTTTACCCTTCTGCACCACTTTTTATATAAAACTAATCATCTTTGAGAGCCTGAGGGGAAGGAGGTGGGGGCGAGGGAGCATCAGGCAGACAGAGCACTAGCTTTAACTCTTTGAACTGGCTGGTAATGCCTCTCCTCTATGTTGTAGACTCCAGCTCACTGTCATCTCTCCCCTGTGCACAGGGCCCACCTGCAGACTTCAGGGGTGGGGCTCATGAAGAGACTTCTTTTTTCTCTTTTTTTCTTTTTTTTTCTTTTTTTTAAATACAGTCCCAAATCAAGTGACTCATATGTGAAAATGAGTGGGTGGAGATCTTTCCTTGTTTCTTGATGCAGAACTATGAACTCCTTCCTTCCACTGTTAGCGTGGCTGAGTTTCCAGCATTACAACCTCAGCAGCGTTAGCTTTACACCGGGAAGGGTAGAACTCTGTCGTCTCCAGTTGGCACCCAGATTCTCTTCCATGTTACTGGGCCTGTCAGCTCGGAGGGAACTCCTGCTACGAATTGTGAAGAGCGGGAGGGAGCCAGAGGCAGAACCCCCAGCCTCTGGACAAGATCTAGACCTTAGCTTTTAATAGTAAATGAGAACACTTTTAAATGAGGATGGTTTAATATCTCTCAGATATATTGCATTAGCCAGAATAGTGAGTTGGGCAGTGTTTCAGTACGTAAAATTAAATTCCAGTATCTTGGATAGAAAGTAAACAAGAATTAGTTATACAGCCAAGCCTTTAGCTGTCATAAATAAATGTAAAAACTACTGGCATCTCTGATGGCTGAAGGAGGCCAGCAGCACTATTAGAGGGAGAATCAGCCTAATTTTTCCTTGTACTTTTTATAGAATATCAGCAGAGCAATACATGTTTTAAGGGAAGAGGCTCATTTTTTTTCCCCATAGCTGTGTGTTGAGTCCCAAGGAGTTGGACCTCAGGGTAGTTGTCGCTATCAGATGCAGAAGCAAGACAGTGCTGGTTAGATTCAGCTGTGGTAACATGTCTTCACTGAAGTAGCTGTGTGAGCATAGTGCTATTTAAAAAGTTTGTGCCAAATGGAGAGAGGATCTTTGGCTTTTTTCCTGTATTGGATCCATATGTCCTTTTATTCATGATTTTCCATAAGTTATGATTTATAGATGGGTTATTTGGACCATTAAATATTACTTGTCAGTAAATGAACGGGTGTAACTTTGTTCCAGTCCTTATTAATAAATTTTGTAATGTTTCTGGCTCTTTAGACCTTTCTCCATATCTAATGTTTGTTTTCATCATGCTCTTTAGTTCTCTGAAATGTACTCAATTTACCTATAGTTTGCCCTTGAAAATGTATGATATTTTCCCTTCAAGATACAGTAATTACCTACAAAATCCTCTCTGACGTTACTTACTTCGTTGTTTAACTAACAAAGTTTGTCAGGCCATTAGGGATCAGAGCTGTCAGCCCCATGTGTCTCCTGGCCTCGGGAATAGCCCAATCCTGGCTGGTGTGAAATCTTAGGCTAAACTAGGAAGTCAGTAAGGAAGCGAAGGTATCATCACTAACCTTCTATTCCTTATTCTTTTTCCACTAGATGGCACCTGCAAAAAGCCTGACACAGTGCCCTCTGCCACTGTGTATTGTGTGGGCTTTTGTTGTGTTTTAATTTTCATTGTCTTTTGGTCCTGTCCTCAAATACATCCATATGTTTTGCTCCCTACACAAAAAGGCTATGGTCATGGGTGTGCCCTAACATTCAAACATAGTTCCCGAGTCTTTAGCTTCTTTGGTAATTTGTTCTCAAAGGTAGTAGTCCTGGGGAGCCTTAAATATTTTAAAGTAACGTTATTAAACCTGTTACTCAAAAGAAAGTCAAGATTTTTTTGCTTACAGGGGTTTTACTGCTTGAGGAAAGGGTCATTTATCTGGAGGGTATATTTCACGCTCCAAACTCTGGATTTGTTTTAATACTTCATGCTGATTAAAATCCTTTTCAAAGGAAGGATAAGCAAACTGCACTATTCGCTCTTCTCAGAGCTCTCAGCAATAAAAGTATGATACAGCAGTCCCTCCCTTCACCCTCCCACCCATCAGTAAACAAGTGACCTTTTGTTACCGTACTTCTATTTCAGTCTCCTTTTGGAAGTGGCCATTATTCAGCTGTCTTTGTACAGTCCCTACTGCGGTGGGTCCTGGCTTGTGGCCATGGTTCCTGATAGATGGTTATGGTTATAATAATGGTTAACACACAAGTACTTTATTTTGTGTGTGAGTAGTTCCTCTAAGTCATTGCTGTCTTAAAGAACAATGAATGATAAAACAAATAGGTTGCTTCCATTCCTTAGAAGGTTGCACAATTCAATGTGTGTGCTTGCCTCTTGCTTTCCAGATGTTTGCTGCAGAAACATCGCATGTTCTGCAGCTGCAGAAACATGCAGATGCTTACTGATGCTTGTATCTCTTCCAGGCCTGACTGGAAAGGGTGGGTTTGGTTGTTGTCATTCTGGGATTGTAGAAACTGAGTCAGCAAGGGATTTAAGTAATGTGCTTGAATCCAGTTGCATTCAGTAGGGCCGTTTGCCTTTTTGCATTTGGCTGTGTGCTCGAGTACCTTCCTGACCCAGTCCTAGAGCTGGCTGGGAGCTGTAGGACTCTGGTGTCCCTGTATTTCATAATGACTGTATTGCTCCATACTGTTGGCTCTTCAGAAGCTGCCTGACTGTGATTATTCCTCTGTTTAACAGGGCCGTTGCTTGTTTGCCAGTGGCAGTCCCTTCGAGCTGGTGACTCTGAAAGATGGAAGAACCTTCAAACCAGGCCAAGGAAACAACGCTTATATTTTTCCAGGTAATAAATAAAATTGTCTTCTTTTAATCTTGAAGACTAGGCTATTAGCAGCTCTTCTTGGGTTCCCTTGCTACACTAGGCACAGTTAGTGAAGCAGCGTGAAGAAGTGTTACCAGCATTTAAAGCTGAGAACTCAGTCAGAAGAATGAACGAAAGAAAATCAGTTAAGGATGGATGTTAGGCATGTGCAGCTACGTATGTGACATGCACACAGTGAGCTCACCCAACTGGGTATTTCTAAAACAAAAGGGTCTTACTAAAGGCTTTGAAAGCTGCTGCATTATGGGTTCTTCTGCTTGTTTTGGGGCGGGAAGGAGAAAATAAGTGTCAATACGCTCCTCTTGAAGTTATGCCTGCACAAGTGAGGGTACAAAAGAAGCACTAGGGATATTTCTCTGCCTTTCCCCTTCTCTCCCTTTTCTCCCTGAGCTGCTAAGCTCTAACCCCTTGTCAGCTCTAACCCCTTGTCAAAAGCCACCTATTATGGTAAATGACTAGCACACATGGTAATAGTTTTGCAAATGTGTGTAGAAAGCTATGGGAAGATTTTTAAAAATAACATTCTAGATGACTCGCAGCTTCTCGGCAGCAGGCTGCATATTTTAAAATGATGTGGCCCTAATTGGCAATAATTTTATTGTAGGCGTGGCTCTCGCTGTGATCCTCAGCAGTGTTCGACATATTAGTGATAAGGTTTTCCTAGAGGCTGCTAAGGTAAGTGTGGAAGCAGAGTAGGCTGTGGCTTCTGACATGATGGTGGATGACGTGATGGGCAATTTCTCAAATCTTGCTGAAACTCTATGGTTTCCTGTTTGATTTCTGTTGGTTTTATCCCTCCCCAACGGGAAAAAAATGGATTTTGATCAAACAAAATTGTGAAAAATATCAGCTTCCATTGCAACTTTAATTTTTTCATCCAAACACCCAAATAAGAAATCTGTCCATGTGTAAATTGCCTCCCAGCCTCGTAGGTCTGGCAGGAGGCCTGCCTCCTCCTCCTGCCCCGCTCTGGGTTCCAGAGCTGGCGGTGTGGTCAGGGATGCACGTGGCCCCCAGGCTCCCATCCTCTCCTGCCTTTGCACTCTGGAGCAGGAGCACCTACCACATTGAGTAGCCAGCACATCAACTGGCCAAACAGTTCTGCAGGCATGTTGTGTTCTTACAGCTTCCATGGTTATGGGTAGTTCAGCCTCCAAAAAAACCAGGATCTTACTTTGCTAAATGCTTACAAGCAGAATTTGCTGATATGGGCACAGATGGCAGGGTTGATCTTTAGGAATTTTGAGATTTTGACTGCCTTATTCTAGTGCTTTGGGAGCACTCTAGTAGTAAGAACACAGCAACTTGTTTCTCCCAAGTGTTTTTAACGTGTTATTGATCCCATTTGGGGTGCAGTAAATAGAACTTGTTTGTTTTTCTAACTCAGGCATTGACAGAACAGTTGACCGATGAAGAACTTGCACAAGGAAGACTTTATCCTCCACTGTCTAATATCAGGGAAGTTTCTATTTATATTGCTGTCAAGGTGAGTATGAAGCATAAAAGCGGACTGTACTAAAAGTGTTTTATGTGTGCATTAACTTGCTGAATTGCACAGTATGACCCTTGAACACTAGGTGCTTGGGCAGAAGATACCCAGTTCTTTGTGCCTTTAATAAGAGCCACTTATAAAAATCTTGGGTTTGCTGGATGCTTCAGTTTGGCAGCGATGATGGGCCAAAATTATGGTCCTTTGATTCCCGAAATTAAGATTTCAGATCCCTGGTAAGGCATTCAGGAATTGTAAAAAGACTTTGGTGTTTGTCTTTATCCAGTTTGTGAGCCCTAAACATATTGCAGCAGAAGCGTGGATGTTATGTGAATGTCGTAAAAGGCACAAACTGCATGGTTTTTCCATAACTTTTCAGGTTATGGAATTTTTGTACGCAAACAACATGGCTTTCCATTACCCTGAACCTGCTGACAAGAACCGTTACATTCGATCAAAGGTTTGGACCTACGAATACGAATCCTTCATGCCAGATGTGTATGACTGGCCTGAATCTAAGGTTCACTAATGTATCAGAAGATCGCACTCCTCAGGCAGTATCTTCTACTCTGCAGGGATCCCTTTTTCAGACCAATTTAAATCATGATCTTTGAGTCCTGTAATTTATTTTCGCTCATTTTGTTGTCTTTTTTTCCCTTCTACCCTGTTTTTCACTTGATGTAGATTTCTCCCCACTCTCCCAAGTACCTGATAAACTGTATGGATGATGGCATCCGTCACAGGAATGAGAGAGCTCTCCAAAATTAATTTAAATAATGACATTGCATTTCTAGCTTACAACCCGCACCACGCTAAAGAATTCCATTAATGATGTTTTAGCTGAGTGCGTTTGATGAACTATAGCTCTCTCATCACTGCTGATTTCCAGGATGATTTATTTCTGCTTTTAATAATCAGTCTTCTAATTGTCCGAGTGTTGTCACACTGCATTATCTATGACATCACCAGAGAATTTGTCCAAGCTTTTAATAATCAGTCTTCTAATTGTCCGAGTGTTGTCACACTGCATTATCTATGACATCACCAGAGAGCATTTGTCCAAAAAAAAAAAAAAAAAGGACAGCTTAAGACAAATTTAACAGTCTAATGGGCTTTCTGTTTTGGCTGACGTTTAAAGACGCCCACGTCCAGACTTCCTTGTGGCATTGGCTGCTCTGTTTCTCTGAAACAGAGTGCTTTGAGGAGCAGCATGGTGTGCACATGTGGAAGCTGCAGCGATGTTTGTATTTCGTGTTTTCATCGTTGTGTGAAATCCATTATCAGGAAAAACGTGAACTAGTTAAAATTATCCTTGGAAAGCCAGAAAATAATATTAATGACTTAACAGCTTTTAAAAACAAAGCTATGCTGTTGCGTAATAAGTCTTACCACATAAAGGCAGGATCTGAAGTAATTTATGGAAATCTTTTAGAGATTTTACAAGGAGATTTTCTGCAGTGGACTCCAAGGTGATGTACCAAAGGATTTTTTGTTTCATTTGTTAATTTTTTCAAGGTTCTGTTTCTTCTAAGCTAAATTGTTGTCTCCCTTGCATACCCTTGTTCTCACAAAAAGACTTGTGTGTGATGTTTTCATGACATCGCTGACTGAAAAACTCCTGAGTGGACTCACTTGCCACTTCGAACAAAGCCCCCACCCGCAGCTGGTGAAGCTGCAACAGAAAGCGTTACAGGCAGCTATCGACACGCACACTTACAGAAGTTTGACTGAATGTTTCTTGTGGTCTCAGTCCAGTATATTCAGTTCAGTTTGAATACAGGACTCAAAAGATCTAATGCTCTGAAGCTCTAAGTTGATCACTTCATCTTCTTCACTCCGTTTACAGGTTTAATTTGTCAGGTTTTTTGTGTAAAAACAAAAATTGCGAGTTGAATTTTTCCTTGTGATGAGTGGTACTGCACATTTGATACAGATACCACAATGTGCATTCCTTTTCATTTTGTTCATAGCAGGTTTGAGTGCCCTCCATTACTTTTTATTAGCAGGCAAGGACACACGGCGATAGTTACAGTCTGCGACTTCTCTAAATCTGGTCTCCGGAACAAGAACAATGGTATGTCAGGAACAGAAATAAAGATAACATGCTGTTCCATAGTTTGCCGCATCAAGGCAAAAAAGGACAAAAATAAACAAATAGATAGATGTAAAAGGGCTATACTGCCAAACTTGAAGCCGGAACCCAAAGAGATGAAGTAAAGCTTGCTTAGGATTTACCCATGGCAAGCACCTCTCTCATATCCTCATTTATATTGGAAAATGCAGTCTCCACAGAATAGGTCCAAAATAGAACAGGGAAAATAATCTCTGTACCCCCCTGGACATGGTCTCTGTAGCTTGCTACCTAGTACCTGATTTTTGGATTACGTTCATGTATTAGATAAAAAGAACAGTAAACTTTGGGAAGGCTTTACCTAAGTGAGGAAAGAAGACTGATTATATAAACACAGAAAATAGTGATGTGGGGAAAAAAATGCATATTCAAACTGCGGTAAAGTGCTGTCTGGTGGGGCTCGAAATGCTACATTGCCAAGTTGGGCAACGTACGTGGTTTGCAATTTGTATATGTAAGTGTATGTACAAAAAAGACCAACACACACATATGATGTTTTTACAGAGAATGCTTTTTTTCATCTATTTTTGCTATGCCTGGTTTTTATTGTATTTAAATTTGTGATCTTACTGAAAAATTATTTATTTAGTGTACAAATTATTTTTACCTTCTGAAAATTCAACTCTAGCTGAAGCCTGTTGCAGTGTGTCAGCGGAGTTCTGCATCATTAGATTCAAGTATATTGGGAACGCACACTTCCTCACTTCTGCCAACATACTAATTAGGCAGACGAGTTACAAAAATATCCCATGCACTGATCTTGTGTCCCGGCTGAGAACGATCACAGAGGCAGGGCAGTCGGTCCGTAATCATAACTCTGTCTTACAAAATAAAGATCTGCATCCATGTATTCAGTCTGATTATTTTTTTTTTCAGGCAAGAAGTGTGGTCATGGTTCATAATCAGTGGGCATTGATAGTACTCAGGAAAACCTGGCGCTTGGGAAAATAGCATTACCTGCGCGCAGCGGGAGTCTTGCTTTGGGCAAGAGTGGTTTCGGTTCCCAAAGGGAGCTACCGTGCAGGAAATTCACAGCGGTTGCTGTCAAGCCGAGGGAAGATGCCCGTTTCGTGAAGTGCAGTCCTTTCCCTTCCTGGCACGGGCTCCCTGCTGTCTTTAAGCAGATGCCAAGAGGCATTGTTCAGAACTGGCCAGCAGTGGGATTTTCCCAAGTACAGATGTTCCTGCATGATTTTTCTGGAAATCCCACTGCACAGGTGAGGAAAAAAACAGTCTTTAACCGACTCAGAGGCTCCAGTTACAATGCAGCCCTGCCCTGATGGGGCTGGAGATGTGTCGGAGCTCTAGAGTAGAGAAGGCCTGACTGTGTCTCTCTAACCTGTCCCAGTTCCGGCAGCTAAGTGGTACCGGTTAGATTTCATCTATGCATACGCACCCGTGGACGTTGTTTAATCAGGTTCTGTGGATCATCTATAGCTTGCAATATAGACACGGTGGAATTTTACCTTTAATGTATACCCATTGTTTTCGGTTAGCAACAGGTAACATGTCAGCTCACAAAGTTTTAAGTGCATTTCACTCTCCCTTTCATCTTTTTCAGATTTTTTTGTTTTATAAAATATATAGATTTATCTTTGGGTTTGTGTAGTCTTCAGATCTAATTAATCTTTGAATTAATTACAACTGCTAATCTTGCCGCTTAGTGAGGAACCACAGTATCCTTTTTCGTATTCTACTTAACCTGATTTTTTCTATTTGCTGGCTTATTCAAAAGCATTTACCGATCTGTATCTATACAGAAAATTCTCTTATGCAGTGTGCAGAAGATGCGTTTTGTAATGCTACATAGCGTAAGTTAAGCTTACACTGTCACCTAAAGGATGACTAGTGTTCTAGCTCTTCACACAGCCTGGTGACTTTTGCCCTCTGAATGGTATAGAAGTCTGTCTTTCATGTCTCTTCTGTGAGGATACTATTCTGGATGTACAGAACACTTCCGAGAGGATCAGAGACTCCCACTAAGGTCAGTAGCTCGGTCTTTTCCAGGGCTGGTCCAAGACTTGCTTCCTTAAAATCGACAGGAGCCGGACTGAGCCTCTTGGCAGCAATATACAGAAATGTCTAGGGGAGGAGAAGAAAGGTAGCTAAGGGAGCGCAGCCTTTTGTTACGAAATATGTGTGATCGTGTTCAAAGATGTTACGAAGGTTTGTGTGTTCCTGAAGCGTATGCCCGCATGCCAACAATTGACGTGTAGAGGAAGACTAATAAAATAATGTGTCTGACAGATTTTAAAACCCAAATGTGGCTCCTCGCGTAAGTTCTTGGTTACATTTGTGAACAGTGATGTTTCATGATGTTGTGTTTGTCTTCCAAGTGTAAAACAAAGCGACACTTCACACGCCAGATCAGTGTTTAACAAGTTTCCTGTGGTAGGTGTGTGTCTTTCTACTGTTTGGGGGTTTTTTTTTCCAGCATGCTGTTTTGCAGGAGCGGGTAAAGTAACCCTTTGTCACATTCCTCTGGTGGTAACTGTGAAGATAATGAAAAACTAAAAGGTGTGTCATTTAGCGGCCCTATTTAGTGACTACTTCTGTGGGAGAGTGGGGATCTCTGTTGTACAGCTACAACTGTGATTTTTAGTTCAGCTGACTCTGGGCCTAAGTAAATCCAAGTTGTCTTTCATTTGCGCTGGGTCTTCTTGACTTCAAAGGTGCAGATTTGAGCACCTCTGTCATTCGGATAAAGGCATCTACGAGACTGTCAGATTGGACTGTAAGAACAGTACAGTTTGGACTCCTGTTCTGTCTCAGCTATAAGTGCTATTCCTGAGTTTAAGAAAACCACTGTCGTTTTTGGACTCTTTTTAAGATGATGCGTACTGCTGTCCCATTTCATAACAGCCGTACGTAATAGGCAGGGACTGGTGTTACATTGAATACTGGAGCAAGGAGAAAATCTAGAGCAAAGCTCTAATTGCACCCACTTGACAGCTGAATTTGAGCAATGTAATTCAGCCTCCGCTGGTGAAGGGGCATCTAATTCTGTAGGGATCTACCTTGACCTACCTACCTACTCCCGAAATACACATTACCATGGTGTCGGAAAGCCTGCAGGTGTTCTTGGTGAACCGCGAGGAAAATTCAGCACGCTTTAGACCTCTGCTTCCTGCCCTCGCTTCCCGAATGGCAGCACGCGGTGAGGATGCAGCTTACTCGTGCCTTCTCCGGAGGAACGTGTGCGAACAGCTAGATGGTACGTGGGGAATCCGGTGGCACGGTGGACCATGGCTACAGCTCGTGTAAAAAGCGCTCTCGCATCGGACGTTTTGCTTGCGGTGCAGGAACCCCGTGGTGTGCGTTTATATTCCCCGTACGCAAAGTGGGCGCTGGATTGAACTGAACTCTCCGAGTACCTTTGACTTTGACTTATCCATCCTTTAAGTAGTTCCTTTCTAATGAAAATAAAAATATTTTTAGGACTACACAAACATAGTAAGATGGCCAGTTTGTCAAGAAATAAAATGTCAAAATAATTTACATTTATTTCTATCTTAAACATATCTACCTTACGCAAATAAACCGAGGTCTACTGGAGTGCTTGTGGGAACAGTTCCTGCCTAGCTGTCCGGGCTTGGCTTTACCCGGGAGGGTCGTTGCTCAGCTGAAACTAAAATTGTATTTAAATGTGAACCGATTGGGTTTTTTTCCTCCATTATAATTCTGTAACTCTTGAAATGCGTGTTCTGGTCTTCTATTTTCTTAGTAAAATGCATTCCCTTTGCCTAAATTGCATTTGATTTTGGTTTATTCTGACAAAATAATGCTTGACCTATACCGAATTGGGACGCGATTGCCTAAATCACCGGTGCTTTTTTTTTTTCCTTTTCTCCCTTGCAAATGATCAGCCGACACAACCGGTGCTTGGGCTGTAGGTAAAGCAGTTACAATGTGATCTCAAAACTGGTTTTCGGGGACTCCTGGCTGTTTGACAGCGCTTTACAAAGGACCCCTTCAAGAGGGGGGCAGGAGGAGCTGCGGCCCTATTTTAACCCGACTCTGAGAGGGGGCCGGCGG